GGGTACAGATGGGTTTTTGTCAGAAAAAGAAATGAGAAAAATGAGATCACAAGATATAAAGCTCGCCTTGTAGCACAGGGATTCTCCCAGAGGCCTGGGATCGATTATGATTAAACATATTCCCCTGTTATGGATGCGATTACTTTCAGATACTTGATTAGTTTGGCCATCTATGAAAATCTTGAGATGCGTCTCATGGATGTTGTGACTGCTTACTTATATGGATCGTTAGACGCGGACATTTATATGAAAATTCCAGAAGGAATTAGAATACCCGAGGCGTAAAGTCCAAGCCTAAAGAGTTATGTGCGATAAAACTGCAAAGATCATTGTATGGCTTGAAACAATCAGGGCGTATGTGGTATAATTGTTTGAGTGAACAATTACTGAAACGGGGATACATAAATAATCAAATATGCCCGTGTGTTTTTATAAAAAGATCACAAGATGGAGTGGTGATAATTGCTGTCTATGTCGATGATCTTAATATTATTGGGACTACAAATGAAATTCAAGAAGCAGTCACTTTACTAAAAGGCGAATTTGAAATGAAAGATCTCGGACAGACCAAATATTGTCTCGGCTTGCAAATAGAACGGGTCCAAAATGGGATATTTGTCCATCAATCTAATTACACTCAAAGAATACTGAAACGATTCAATATGGACAAGGCGAATCCACTTAGTACTCCAATGGTCAATCGAACATTAGATATTGAAAAGGATCCGTTTCGACCTTGTGAAGAAGATGAAGAAATACTTGGTCCTAAAATACCATATATGAGTGTCATAGGAGCTCTTATGTATCTTGCTAATTGTACCAGACCAGATATATCTTTCGCTACCAATTTATTAGCAAGATATAACTCGGCACCTACGAGGAGACATTGGAATGGAATTAAGCATATATTCCGTTATCTCCAAGGGACAATCGATTTGGGACTGTTTTATTCTAACGATAGAAAACATGAAATAATCGGTTTTGCAGATGCAGGATATCTCTCAGATCCCCATAAAGCAAGATCTCAAACTGGATACGTTTTTACGATTGGCGGAACTGCATTCTCTTGGCGCTCTCAGAAGCAAACGTTAGTTGCGACGTCTTCAAACCATGCTGAGATCATTGCACTTCATGAAGCAAGTAGGGAAAGTATCTGGCTCAGAAACATGACTCAACATATTCAACAAGCCAGTGGACTATCGAACAATAATGACCCGACGGTGATATACGAAGACAATGCAGCATGTGTCGCTCAAACAAAAGAAGGATACATTAAGAGTGACAGAACTAAACATATCCCGCCAAAGTTCTTCTCATATGCGCAAGAGCTTGAAAGAAACAAACAAATCAAAGTTCAATACATTCGATCAAGCGATAATGCAGCAGATTTATTCACGAAGGCTCTTCCGACGACAATATTTCGAAAGCACGTGCACAATATTGGGATGAGACATCTTCGGGATTTGCACAGATAATAACTCGAGGGGGAGTATGTGCGGCTGTACTCTTTTTTCCTTATCTCGGTTTTTCCCCACAGGGTTTTTCCGGATAAGGTTTTTAACGAGGCAGCATAAACGTACATTTAATAGTGGTAGCTCCAAGGGGGAGTATTATGTAGTGGATTTACCACTAAAGATTATCTTTTCATTATTGTATTTAAATGCATTGTAATGTGTGCCACTTTGCCTATAAAAGGCAAGAGATGTATTACATTTTAGAGTAAGAATGAAGTGAAGAAAGAAAAGAAAGCTTAGTACAATTTATATCCGATTTTTATACATTGTGTTCTTTATATTGCTCGCATTTTATAACAAAATTAAATTTAACAAGAAGCTATCTAGTTGTGGCTTTTTTGAGTTTGAATAGAGGGCCTCGTGTTGACTAACGTATTAAACATATATTTTTGTAATAATAAATTGACAAATGTGCCCCCATGAGAGTGATTTACAAAGGCAAAATGCAGCACACAATGGTGAAATGTTCCCATAACATGATTCCAGGCAAAAATGAATATTGTACTGATGACAAAATCAACCTCTTTATGCCTTACATCCCTTATACACACTAATCCATCTAACCAAGCAAAAATGCATTTCCTGTACAAAAAGAATAATATTTTCCTGCATCCCAGTGGCCTAATCTTTGATAGGGCGCTTTCCATGCGGATCTAAACCGAGGCCAGTAAAGCTCGATGCACTCGTAGTCAATGTAGCAGTCCGAGAAGCTGTGGACCCATACGACCCGGAACTCGACCTATCAGATGTTCCTGTAACCGTATATCCACTTCCCCCAATTTGTCTTCTGTATCTGGACCCAGCATATGCAGGCCGAATGGGATCCTCAAGATTGCTGGGCTTTCTCGACAGCATCATAACAACACGATCCATGTCCGGTCGTGATTGGGCCTCCGATTGGACGCAAAGCAGACCTATCTGCACCCACAATTCTATCTGCTCGTGATCGGCCGACGACGCCAGTGTGGGGTCCATTATTTCCAGGCTCCTCTGTTTCTTGTACATCTTGTATGCCTGCACAATGCAATTATTATTTTGATGATTTAGAGGCTCGAATATCAGTACCATGACTATTTTATCAACACCAATAGATATTTTGATTTAGTCCTTCAAACTTTTCGATGTGGCTATAGTTTAATCCTTGACCATAACATGTTTCAGTAGCAACAGCTCCATTCTAGAAACTGCATATTTTTATAAATTCCGAACTAAGATCATTTTGATAATAAATAAAATATTGAGATAGCACCAATTGAAGCTACAGGATTCAAGTTGCATAAGATGTAAACAAAACACTGCTATTGCACAGGTTCATATTTTATGCTAAAAAGAAAGCGAAATCACATACTTGTAGTTAATAGTAATAGTTACAGGCCCAATTTTTACAACTATTAGTCAAGTATTTGGACATGGCAAGTACGTTAGTCTAAGCACAGGTAACAGCCTAAAATTGGTCCAAGGAATCGAGAAATGTGGCTTGACCATTCAAGTTACACATATTTTCAAAGCATACAAGACCTCCCATGACACACTAAATTTAGCAGTTAACTGTTATAAATTAGCAGTAAACCAGAGTTTAAATCCTGATTTTAGAGAACATGTCTCCGGGAATTTATGTTTCGTACCCACTCAAGAAGGCTATAGCAATCAGGATCTCGGTTAAAAGCCGAATTTTTCTGTCCACTTATCAGCTCAAGAACCACAACTCCAAAGCTGAAAACATCGGCCTTTTTTGAAAGGATGCCATGAAAGAGATACTCTGGTGCCATATAACCACTGCAGTCAAATTAAGGCATTCATATTAGCTCTTGCCAGATGGCATCATTTAGATGGACAATACTGTTAAATTTTAGCTCAATAGCGCGCACACATATCTGACTTATAAATATGCCATTAGAATGTTTCTGTTTCACAATGAGACAGAGAGAGAGAGAGGAGTGGGGTACTTTCAAGTAAATACTAAGTTAAGCATATCTGTATTTCTTTAAGGGCCTTTTTGTAATTAGGAGTCTTCGGGGTAAATTTTGTAATTAACCATCAAATATTCAAAAGATATGATAGGCATACTTGGTACCAGCCACACGAGTGCTAACATGGCTTTGATCTTCGGGAAAGAGACGAGCCATGCCAAAATCAGCTATCTTGGGGACCCAATTTTCGTCTAGCAAGATATTGCTGGCCTTGATGTCTCGGTGTATAATAGAACAGGGAGCTTGTTCATGAAGGTAAAGCAAGCCCTTTGCAACTCCCGCTATCACGTCATACCTTTGCTTCCAGTTGAGCAATTCTCGTCTATCAGGTTCTGTACAAGTGGCACGTAATGTGTTTTCAATATCATTCATCATCTTGCAATCAATTTAGATGTTTATAACCCAAAGACTAACACTGATTAAATAATTCTTTGACAATACAAAGTTTCAGGAAAAACATAAGATCCGACATAATGGCTTCTCATTGAAAAAAAAAATAATAATAATAATAATAATAGAAGTGGAAAAAATTTCGTGAAGCATAGAGCTAAATATGATATAACATACAATATCCGATTATTTGACATATTAAACCGGTGAAATGCACAACATTCAATACATATTATGTGGGCTGAAGTATAGATAAAAATAGGCCAACAAAAACCATCATGAAATCTGGTATGTTCAAGCATACCAGGTTACATGTGGCTACAGATTTTCATCTGTTTAACATCCATACATTTCAGTCTTATTTCAGCTTAAAGATAATTTTGGCAGCACACCAACATAGAAACAAAAACATAGTTATAACCAAGTCTTTCAATTAGAAATCATCATTTTCAAACTAAAACTCATGTAAAGACTCCGTCCTTTATCCACGATGCCTAACATTGAAAGTTGACAAAAAATCCTTTCACTACTAATTATGTCAACTTCAATAACATATCATTTGAGTAACTATTAGATTTTGCATCAATTTCCTCATTATTTCATACTTATTTTTTTCAAAAAGAAGATCATCTTTATGCCAGGACACCAAGTGACTTAAAATCCACAATTCGCAAAAAGATGTAGCAAAAAACTTACTGAAAAGAAGCTTGTCAAGGCTCTCATTTGCCACATACTCGTAAACAAGCAGCCTCTCTGAATCATGCACACAGTAACCGACAAAATTAACCACATTTTTGTGCTGGACACGTGCCAACAGCTTTGACTCGTTCTGGAATTCAGTTTGCCCCTGACCTGATCTCTGGGAGAGCCTCTTAACAGCTACTTCTCTCCCATCTTTCAATTTCCCCTAATGAAAATCATACCCACAAACACAAGAAGGCCCAAAAAAGCCAAAAGAAGAAAATCAAGAACTATTCAAAGATCCCCTTTTCCTTTAATCGAATTTGCAAATCTCATGATTCCCAATTCATTTCTGGTACAATGGAAAACAACAACAACAACAAATAAATACACAAGCACAGACCAAAAATAACAATAAATAAAAAATCTATATTCACCATCCCATATTTCCCATATCAAAATTGCAACTTTCATCCGACCGAATTCAATTCTGCTACAATGGAAAACACCCACAAAACAACACACACACAAACATACTAAAACTGCAACTTTCATCCAACCCAATTCAATTCTGCTAGAACGGAAAACGCCCACAAAACACAGACACAGACACACACACACACACACACACACACATACACACACACACAACAACAAACATACTGAAAGACTATGCAATCAAGAAGCAGATCTTAACTAATGTTATTTCACCTTGAAAACTGGGCCAAAGCCCCCTTCACCAAGCTTCTGGGTTAGGTCAAAATTCCTGGTGGCCGCGGCAAGAGCCCCAAATGAAAAATGTCTCTGCTCTTGTGCTGCGATTATCTCCAACTCCTCCTGGCTCTCGTCTTCATCACAAAATTCAGAGTTCAAATAAAAAAGGTCACCAAAAAAAAAAAAAAAAAAAAAAAAAA